CCAAACCATGATGACTGTGGGGAGCAGAGCTCAGAGCAGAGGTAGGAGGGACGGAAGTGGGAAGGCACTGAGAGAGGGGACAGAGATGGAAAGAAAGCTAGAAGAAAGTGGAGATGATTGCTCTTCATGTATGTGTGTGTATATATATATGTGCCTCTTCTTTCTAGAGGAGAAGGGTTGTGCACAGGGTTTAATGTTACCATTCATCCAACTGGGCTCCAAGGCCAGTACCAAGGAACCTGTGAGTACTTCATGGGAAACCTGGGTCCCCTGTGGAAGTGGGAGGTCCATCTGGGGAGCCAGGTATCCTTCACAGAGGCAAACAGCTGGAGGAGCTGCCAACTTTGGGCAGGCCACACATCCTTTGAGTAATATCATGTTCTCGGTGGGGAGGTAGAGTCCTGGGGACAAAAGGCAGAGGTGTTATGTGTCACACCTGGTTCTCCACAGTTGATGAGGGGAGATTGCATGTCCATTTCGTCAGCACTGACTACGACAGCCTCATTCTTTATGTACGCTTTCAGGACAATGAAGTCGTCAACCTGTGGGCACTTCTGGGTAGGTGATGGCTCTCCCAGCACTGGCTTCTGTGCCAAGGTCCTGTGGGTAGTCCTTGACCACTCCCTTGTCTGACCAGAGACCTTCTGTCTGGAAGGAGAACTTCATGATGGCTGTCCTGAGGGTGTGGGCAGCTCTAAGCTGCAAGCAGGCATTCCACTGTACGGCACAATGCACTCTTGTGCAGTCATTCAATCTCTTGTTCACCTCACAAGCACCATATATGTGGTGTCACAGTCTGCTGCTGTGCTAGGATGGGGATCAGATTCCCCAAAAGGACAGTATCGGGGAGGAGGGCCCAAGAGGCTTATGAGGATGTGCCAAGCAGCTGTTGCCTCTTGAAGACTGGTCATTTGTGGGGTTGGCCACAGCCAAAGTCCTGGGTGACACAGGATACCCGAGAACCTTGAGCTCTGAGAAGGATGAAGGGTGGGTAGTGCAGCGGTGAGTGCAGGAGTGAGGTTGTGCTTTCTGGGGTCTTCTCGGTGAGGACACAGGGCTCACTTGTTTGTTAGAAAGACATTACCTGTGCTAGAACCAGAACTGTCCCTGTCCTCTTTTCCTTTCTTCTATGTTGGGAATAGAAATCATACTAGGTATGTTCTCTGTAGACGTTAGTTCTGGTTTTTCCTTCCATGCTCCCAGAAATAAGATTCAGACTCAAAATATATTTACAAATACCTTGGCCATATAGATAGGCTCTTCTCTGTCTAGATCATAACTTAAAATATCCCATTTATTTTAACTTATATTCTGCCACATGGCTGGTTACCTGTGCTTAGGTAACATGCATCCGTCTTGACACATCTTCCCTGGGCGAATCTTCCCTCACCTGGTTCTATCCCAGAATTCATTCTGCCTCCAAGATGTTCCACCTCCCATTTCCTGCCTTAGTCATAAGCCGTCAGATTTATTTTTGTCAGGTGCCACATCCATACAGACATAAGATATTCTCTCTACAGTTCTTTACCCATTGGGCCACATTGGCTGCCCCAGACATGCTTTGAGAGGAAATAACAAAGGGACTGTTGTAGTCACTGGCAGAGTGAGGTAACGGGGCAGGTGGCACTGCCATCCAACTGATCCCAACATATGCTCTGCACCTCAGAAGGAGACCAGTGTCAGGCAACTGACAGTCAGGGGCTCTGTAAGCTGCCCAGGCTTACGCTGCCTGGGCTTACGCCTGCCCCTCCTTACGCCTGCCCAGCCTTACGCTGCCTGGGCTCTGCTCCCTTTGGCTCTGCTCCCTTCTTGTTTACCCAGAAGAAGAGCTGAGAACTGAGAGCTTCACCCTTACTGCCAGCCCTCTTATTTCAGCGAGAAGAATGCTTGAGGATCCCATGTGGCTCAGCAAATACCTGGGATTTGTAGAGAAATTCTACCTTCAAAAGTCCCTTGTCTTCAACGTAGCTGGTAAGAGCGGCCCTCTAGCTGCCTCAAGTCTGCTTAAGGAGCTTCTCCTTTCTTATCCAGTCCATGATGCAATGACAACACAAGAACAGCCTTCACCATGCTGCTTTTCTGGCCAGACCTGTGCGAGGCGCTCCCCTGCCAGGGTTCCTATGGTGCCTTGAGACCCAGTGATGAGGCACATGCCAACTCCGTGCAGAGGATGTAGTCAGAGAAAGTCCTGAGTGATGGAGAGGGGCACAGCTAGGAAGAGCGCCTGGGTGTGGTCCAGATTTTGGGGTCCCTATGACCCCAGCACAGAGCCCTTTTGTTCCACCATTCACTGTGACATTTAATTGATCAACATACACACAACCATCTCTGTTCTGAGAATTTGACAACACATGGAACAAGACAGGCTTACCCAAGTTCAGGTCACACCTGATGGGACAGCAGCAGCAGATGAGTTAGGCTGTGACTTAGCTATACATCAGGAGCACAGGCTGAAAGGCCTTCTTCCATATGCAGCAGTCAGGAAGGGTGTCCTAAGAAAGTCAAGGCTCCTTGGAAGAGGGACCATGCTGGGAAATGAGGGGATGGGCCATCACCAGACCACAGGCTATGTAGCCATCGTGGGGGCCAAAAGGCAAGAGGCAGGGCAGTCTTGGGGACTAAACATCTTCATAATGTGATTTGTTTCTTGGATGATGGATTTGAAAGCAATAAAGTTAAGACTTTAATCCCATCCTTTCTCTTCTCCACAGACCAGTGTCCCCCAGATAAGGCCTAGATGAGGCCACTGCTTGAGGGGCCACATGGCCCCTCCACCTTCTGCTGCTTCAGCCTCTTTCCATTTTCTCACCATGGTCGGCAGCTCAGGAAGCCCCTCTGTGCCTCCTAGGGGCCTGGAGCCCAAAACCTGGAACCTGGAACCTGGAACCCGGAACCCGGAGCCCAGAGCCCAGAGCCCAGAGCCCAGAGCCCAGAGCCCAGAGCCCAGAGCCCAGAGCCCAGAGCCCAGAGCCCAGAGCCCAGAGCCCAGAGCCCAGAGCCCAGAGCCCTGCCAGCTTTGCTTTTCCTCACCCACTTTCTCTCTGTGGTAATCAATCCAATCAAACAACACAGACACCAAAAGCTCCCAGCCTGGCCTGTGTCTGAAGGAACATTCAGGAGGCTTACGAGCTATGAGCTTGAAAGACGGTGAGCAAATCTACGAGTTCCGAAAATGCTCCATTCTTGCACACAGAAATGTTTCTTAACGGATGAGGAGTGGTCTGGGGCAGGATGATTGCCCAGCACACTCAAGACCTAGCTTCCATCCATCTTTAGTAGTAGTAAAAAGAGTAATTTGATAAACAGAGATGTGACATTCCTGTGTAGCCATCAATGTTTCAGAAAACAGGACCCTCAACGCTGTAATAAATAAAATAGAGCATTAAAAACGACACAGTATTTAATATACTATTCTGTCAAGGGGGACTCTAGCATCAACGAAAGGACCAATTGGTGTAGCTGGCATCTTGGTTTTGTTATATTGCTGTGAAGAGACACCATGACCAAGACAACACTTAGAAAAGCAAGCATTTAACTGGGGCTGGCTTATAGTCTCAGAGGCTTAGTCCATTCTCATCATGGTGGGAATCAGGTAGGTGTGGCACTAGGTAGGTAGCTGAAGGCTACATTTTGATCTGCAAGGAGAGAGAGAGAGAGAGAGAGAGAGAGAGAGAGAGAGAGAGAGAGAGAAGCTGGACCTGGTGTGGGCTTTGGAAACCATAATCACTCTGGGTGACACACTTCCTCCAAGGCCACACCTCCTAACCTTTAATCCTTTCACGAAGTCCCACTGCCTACTAAACATTCAAACCTGTGAGCCATGTGAGCCATTCGTATCCAAACCTCCACAGCTGCCATGCTGATTTGGCATGAAGTAGTAGTTAGTAGTGGTTTTGTTTTGTTTCTGGGTTTTGTTTTTGAAGTGTGTGTGTGTGTGTGTGTGTGTGTGTGTGTGTGTGTGTGTGTGTTTGTTCACTCGTGTGCTGCAGCATCAAAGACCAGAAGAGATTTTCGGATGCCCTGGAGCTGACTTACAGTGGTTATGAGACCTCAATATGGTGCTGAGAATTGAACTCACTTCCTCTGCAAGAGCAGCAAATGATCTTACTCAGTTAGCTATCTCACCAGTCTGAGAAAATGGTTTTTAAAGTCTCTAGTCACAAGAAACTATCCTTTCCCCCTAATCTCTACAATCTTTGCATTCTTCTGGTATACCCCACTTCTTCCTACATTTCCCAACCTATTGGATCAGGACAAAAAATCATATCTAATGATCTCATATCGTAGGGCTTGAGTCCGCCCCCTTTCTGATTATAGACACAGTCATGCTTACAACTTCCCCAGTTCTCTGAAACAAGCAGGAGACATTAGCTAGAAAGGAGAGGGGCCTGGAGCTTCCTTGTATCTGTAACTCTGAGTGCTGACAAACTGAAAATGGACCATAATGCTTTATTTCTCACAATATGATAAAGATTTAATAACCCTCAAGTTACTCTGCACAGTAACCAATTCAGTGTCTGGTTGTAAGCACGCTTCCATGACAGGGAAGTAAATAAATTTACCCACTCCTCACAAGGTACCAGTGGCAAACCTAAACTCAGCTGTCAAGAGCCATGCAAAGGAACAAGTGACTTTAGAATTCACAGAGTGCAGCTCGCTGATTAGCTCAATTACCATGGGTGTGCCTCAGAGAGGCAATTTTCATTCCGTGAATAGATTTTTATTTGTAAACCAAAGTCTTTCTCCATTAAATGAAATGTGTTCTGTGTCTCACTAATGTCACACTTTCTACAACACAGAGATAACTGTGTACAGACATGAAGTATCACATTTTATTCACCCTAGATTCAGCCAAATTGGACAACTTAAAATTTCAAGAAAGAACAATTGATTTTGGAAATATACATTATCAGGCCTCTAAAATGTCGGTTTTTAACAAGACAGTCTGTGTCTCTGAGGCACTACTGTGGTTTGCTCTGTAGTCCATAAACACTGATACATCATAAGTCGTCCATGGGATAATGAACAATCTTGACAGACTGCATTTGCTGAGGGATGTTGAAGGTGGGGGTCCCAGCTGTATTCTAGGGCTAGGAGCTTGGTGGGTTTGTTGACGAAAAATATTTGTTGAGGTACTTTTCGTAGGTACCGTTAACTCCATTTTCTGTATCCAAAATAACATCTTTCAAACATTGCTGAGCCAAGTCCAAGACTCAAAAGGGCACTCCACCTATAATGGCGCCAGCACAATAAAAGTCACCCAGTCCAAAGGGAACGTAGGCTGCCGATGTAGGTCTCCTCTCATAGGGGAGATGCATCATCTTTCAGAAATACCACCAAGCATGGAGCTGAGCCACAGATGTGCTAGCATTTCCACTCCAAATTTGTTCTGGAAGACCATGTTGCTGCCCATGCTGAAGAGGAAATCCACTTCATGCCTGTCATGGCCCTGAATGTGCTCAGACAAGATTTCCATGCGCATAAGGTAAAGGTGCTCCACATCTTCTTGTCTGTGATGAATACTTGGAAGGATTGCAGAGGGTTGTGTTCCATTTCTGGTAGCTGCAGGTACTTATCCACCATGATGTAGACAATTACCCGATAGCCAGGCGTGAAGAATTTGCTGGCCGATTGCAAGAATGGGTCCAGGTACTGGTCAGTAAGACTGGGAACACACAAAACAAGGAACACATTTCTAAATGGAGTGGGTGCCCTTGGATGTGCTGTCAAGAGAAGTGTCCTTGATATTAATAAACCCAAGAGGTCAGGAGAGAGATGTTGGGTCTGAAGATCCACCAAACTGATTAGTAAGTCCATAGGCCTGACAATGGCCATGATCCTTTAGAACTACTGAGTCCGAGCTGAGTGGGACATTAGTTAAAAACTCCCAGTGGCCTTATGGATCCAGCCTTGGTACTGGGACTTATCATGGCAAATTTCTATTTGGTATGCTCAGAAGGAGTTGTCACAAAAGAGGATATGACACTCTTTGGGGGCAAAACATCAAGGGATGCTGAACCACATTTCCCAAAAGGGGAAGGGCTTCGAAATGTCTACCTGACAACAGCAGACACAGCCAAGCCCAAGGTGACGTTCTGCTTCCTGTAATATTTCTCCAGGGCCTTTCTGTCAAAGGTGCCTTCCCATATGACTGGGGCCAGCCAGTCTGTGGTCGTGATGAAATTCAGTTGGCCACTATGGAACACAGAAATAAAATGTGATAGGTTGGGTCAATCATCAAAATGGACACAAGCCACCATGTCACAAGCTGACGAACAGCTACATGTTGGGTGTCACTGTATGGTAGCAGCGATGGACATCCAGCAACAGATGCTAACCTGAGATGTCACTGACCAGTCAGATGTGCTGAACCTTCACTTGCTCACATGACCCTGGCAATGCCCCTCCCCAGATGACTGCTAGCTTTCTTCTTGTTCTTCATGTGGACCCACAACTAGTGAGTGGCTGGGCTGGCAAAGCCACAGCACCCACAGCCAATCGAGCCTCAGGCTGTGTGTTCTCTTCCTCCAGAACATGCAACTACTTATCTTGAACTCTGACTATAGCTTAATCAATTAAAAAAAAAAACCAGCCTTGGGTCAGAAGCCCGGAATATCTTGGTTTTTCTGAAGCCAGCACTGTGGGCAGGATTATGGCCTCCCTTCTGTACCATCTGTGTTATTCAGTGAGAGTGAGACAGATTAGACTTGCATTCAATACTGAGGACATAGAGGGAGTAGGATATACCAAGAAGGTAAGCCATATAAAAATCAATGTAAGCCACTATAACAGAAACTAAAGAAAAATTACATGCCCAAATCACTCAACACAGGACATTATAGAACCTGGTATCCATTCATGATTTAGAAAAAAACTTCCAGAAAAGGGTGGGGATGGGGAATGAGGAGAATCACCTCATCTTGACTTTTTAAAAATTCTACATGCCCTGTGGGTGTGGTGAGGCACACCTTTACTCTTAGGAGGTAGAGACAAGATGGATCTCTTTGAGTTTGAGGGTAGCCTGGTCTACATAGCATGTTTCCTGGCTAGCCAAGACTACATAGTGAGACCCTGTCTCAGAAACAATCCATGATAGTCCTACAGTTAGCATGTTTAATAACGAAAGACTGGCTTCTTCCTCCCGAGATCGAGAACATGACAAGGATATATGTACCTCATCTCGCTCTTCCACACAGTGACAGAAGCTGTCGCCATCACAGCAAGGAAAGGAAATCAAGACATCAAATCGCAAATGAGAAAAATAATACTGACCACAATACAATCAGCTATACTTAATCACATACCTGAAAACGCCTGAGAAGAAAAATCACATAAAATTGATAAGTGGATTAGAGAGAGTAGAATTTGCCAGATAATTCCAAAACATTAAGCCCTCTGTCTACATACATACATTAACAACAAGTATGTAGAAACTGGAATTAGAAACACAAAATGAGGGCTGGAGAGGTGGCTCAGTGGTTAAGAGCTCTGACTGCTCTTCCAGAGGTCCTGAGTTCAATTCCCAGCAACCACATGGTGGCTCACAACCATCTGGAACAGGATCTGATGCCCTTTTCTGGTGTATCTGAAGAAAGCAATGGTGTTCATTCATAAATAAATAAATAAATAAATAAATCTTAAGAGAGAAAGAAAGAAAGAAAGAAGGAAAGAAAGAAAGAAAGAAAAGAAAAGAAGGAAAGAAGAGAAACACAAAATGTGCTTGCTGGGATCCAAGTTCAGTTCCCAACATCCATATCAGGCTGCTCACAAGCTCCTGTGACTACAGCTCCAGGGGATCCCACATCCTCTTCTGACCTCTGCAAGCACCTGTGATTCACACACATGCACACACACGCACTCTGAAGGTATTTCTGAAGGCTATCCCATGCTGTTCCTAGATGCCATTTTGCTTGCTCATCCATCAGTAGAGGGGCAATAAGTTAATTTATCCCCTAGACACACTAGGGATGATGCTCTCATGAAAATTTTCTCTGAACACGTTTTAGTTGTCTTGGAGATGGGTCTAGAGGTAGAACTGCTGTGTCCTGTTGTAGTTCTGTAGCTCACAGTGGTTTCACAATGCCACAGTTGGGTCTGTAAGTTCAAAGGTCTCTACATTCTAACACTTTTTATTGTCTAGCTTTTCCATTCTATTCATCTGGTACTCTTCCCGTGGAGTTAAAGGTGAACTGGTGACTCAGTGTGGTTTTGATTTGCATTCCCCTGATGCATTCTGTGTCTTTCTTGGGCATTAATGTATCTTCCTTGAAGAAATGTCTGTTTAGGTCTTTGCCTATTTTTTCCTGCTTTTTGTTGTTTATTAGTAAGAGCTGTTTATAACCAGAATACTAGGTTTGTATCAAATAAGTAACTTGAAAATAGTTTTCCTATTGTACAGATTGTCTCTCAGTTTTTTTTATTTTGTTTGGTTTTGTTTTTTGAGACAGGGTTTTTCCTGGCTTCATGTCTTCATACAGTCTACAGCATTTTTAGTTCAGATAAAGCCCAAATGATCTGTATTTCCTTCTGTGTGTGCTAGACTAAGAAAATTCCTCCCCTCCTTGAGCATTGTGTGTCTATACTATAAAAAGTTGTGCAGGTCAAAGCTCGTGCCCAGGGGTCGCAGGCGGCCATACGGGGCAAGCCGGAGCGCAGAGGGGGTCCAGGGACGAGCTGTTCAGTTGCACGGGGGCGGAGCCGATGTAGTCTCTCCGAACTGGGGGGGGGGGGGAGGGAGAGAGAGAGAGAGAGAGAGAGAGAGAGAGAGAGAGAGAGAGAGAGCGCCCCACAGACGGCTGGGCCGGAGAAAGCGGGGCCCAGCGTGCTTCCGCAGATGGTTGCAACAAGAGTGCTGAGAGAGAGTCCCGCTGGCTGCTGAAACAGGGGCGTGCATGAGTTTTGACCTCTCCCGTAAAACTCAGGGCAGTTCCGAGTTATATAGAGAGGGAGAAAGGGGGAGGATCTGGGGAGGATTGGGGGAGGATCTGGGGAGGCATGTTTAATTTGTTCCGCCCTCTGGCCTTCATTAGTATGTAAATCCCTAGGCCCTGAGGCCTACAGTCTAGCCTATGTGACTGAACAATGTAATTCTATGGAGATGTGACTGCTTTTCAGGACCCTGGATTCTGGGGGGCACCGAACTCCTGCTGGTTCTCAGTCAGAGTCTCGGGGTTCTAGGCACACTGCTCAACCATGACCCAGGATACCCTTATGCAGTCCCACAAAGGTGTTGAATTTTATCAACATTTTCTGCATATACTAAGGTGATTATGTTTTGTTTTGTTTTGTTTTTCAATTCCACCAAGGTGCTCTTTGTGGTGATCCTGTGCACTGAGATCCGTGGTCTCTCATCTGCTGGCTCCAGCTGCGGGAGTCCTCTGTGTATTGCCTCTTTCAGTTAGCGCACTTTCAGCTCTTGCTTTCCAGACTGGGTTCGTTTCATGGTCTGTGTGCCTAGTGCTTTCAGCTGTTTGGCAGGCTGTTCTCACACTCTGCTTTAGCTTTTGTGTATAGAGAACTGATTCAAAGTTGTCAGTCCAATGTCGAGCTTCTCCAGGGATGGTTTCTACTGATTCTTCTCTTTCCCCCTATAAGGACCAACCAGATTGTTATTTGTGTGTTTTCATTTTTTATTAAATTAAATTTGGGGTTTTTAAAAAATAATTTTTGAAAATTGAATGTGGCTACTCAAGAGATTAGACTTTGCTTCCTATCTGGGTATTTTTCTTTTGTTGTTTGTTTGCCAGTTAGCTTAACAGTTAGCAATTGATGGGACAATTTTCCAGAAATCCTTGGGATCTGTAAACTTGCCCCTTCTGCTGGGAGGCCCTGTGCATAGGCTGAGGTGTGCCATTGTCCCATGTGCGCAGGAAACTCTGCTCAGCTCTCACATCTGGCTTGCACTGAGCCTGCATCAGCCAGGGGTAGGCAGCGGCAGGGGCCTCAGAGCCTTCTCAAGGTCTTTTCTGAACACACAGTTCTTCCACAGGTGAGGTTTCCAGCCCTGGGTGTCGAATATTCACCAAGCTTTCCTAAACCCCCATGGACAGTTCCAGAATAGCTTTTCCTCTTGACCCCTTTGCTTGATCTATCACTAGCCTCACTGCCCTGCCTTTTTAGTGGCTAAACTAATGCCTGTCCTTGTTTCAACAAATGCTCCTGGTTAGGTCATTGCAGAGCCTTGCAGCTGGGAGCTGGCAGACAGGTGAGAGTGGGTTCCCTGAGTGTGGGAATTTGAAGGGTTTTATTCTTCCTGTCCTCCCTGCCATGTGGAGACTGTTGTGTAAGGGAATTGTGGAGCAAGAGGTTGGCATGGAGACCAGGGCATTAATTAAACACTCCAACCATCACTGTCCTCTCACTGGTCTGGGAAAGAGGATCTGTTCTTCCTTTTGTTTTTTTTTCCATTGGTTTTATGTGGAAGAGAGAGCCTTACACAGTCATCTCTGCTGATATCAACCAACAGACAGTTTTCATGCCCGTTCTATTGCCAATTGCCAAAGAGGAGGAAGATCTTTGGGAATTTATGTAGAATACTGCCTTAGGAAACTGTATGTATACAAATGGTGTCCTCAAAGTCGTATGCCAAAGCCCTAGTTCTTGCATGTAGTGGTATTGGAGCTGAAGCCTTCTGAGTCACTGAGTCATGAGGATGGGGTCTGTGTCCTTGTGAACAGGGACAAGAGAGTAGACTTTCTCCGCTTCCGTCTTACCCACAGCAGAACAGTTCGCAAGCCATCAACAAGCCATCAGCAAGCGGGGAACAGGCTTCCTTTCATCTGGATTGTGATGTTGTCTGGCTGTGGACCAACCTTGCAGTGGAAAGTGAATTCCATCTGCCTAAGCCCCCCTCTTATGGCAGCTGGAGTGGCTCAACACCAGCCCTTTCTCCTTGGTTCCAATTTTACCCAATGCTCTATCCAGGAGGCAGGTTGAGGAGCACCAGTCCCACTGGCAGACACCACTCAGGCCCATGAGAGGGATGGCGAGTGGATAGACTGCTTGTTTAGACACAGGATGGTCACACAGGGACCAAAATGTATTACAGTGGTAAGAATCAGTGGTTAAGGGGAAATCTTAACATGGCTTTGGGCAAGAATTCCAGAATATTGCAAATATGATATATTTTATTTCTAAAGTTACAAACCACTAAAGTAGGCTTTTTCAGAATATATACCCATATGAGATTAAATTTACATAAAAAAGTCTAGTCAACCAGGGCACATGATTGGCCTTTTGGGAATCAAGATCGTGATTCTGTCAGCAATGAGGGCAGGGCAAGGGAACAGGAAGGGCAAAAAGCCAGACACAATGATAGGAAATTACAGTTTTATTTCATTTTTTAAAAAAGCAAATTGTGGACTGGGGAGCTGGATCTACTGGTAAGGTACTAATCCTATAGACATGAGGACCAGAGTACAATCTCCAGGACCCACACAAAAATCCTACCCCGGCGGCTCATGCTTGTAATCCCAGAGCAAGGAAGGCAGAGACAGGAGGCTCCCTGGAGCTTGAAAGCCTGGTATTCTAAGCAAATCAACAGGCTCTAGGTGCAGAGTGAGACCGGAGAACAGTCCCTGGGGAATAAGACTCAGGTTGTCCTCCAGCCTTTACACGCATGAGCACACATGTACACACTCATGAAAACATGTACACACTGACCAATGACCTGAGTAGAGTTGTATGAGGCAGTCAGGAGAGCTGCCATAACTGTGGGTGAGGACTAGCCTAGCTGTGCCTCTGAGGGACACTCATCACACTCAGGTATAAGAGGAACACCCAAGAAATGAGCAGTAGCTAAAAAGTGCTCCCATCATAACATGAGGACATAGATTGAACTGCGAGTGTTCACCAAGCCGTTTCACCCACAATAAGAGTCGATAATACTTTATGCCCTGTAAATAAGAAAATAAAGCTGTGCAGATGTTAAAGGAAATTTACTCCAAAATTTAAATGTTGTAGTGTGTGATCTAAGGACTCTGTTTTAGAAATGACCCTGTGGATAAACACAATCTGTGTACAAACTCTGTTCAGGGTCCTTCACCTCGATTATGACACTGACAACTTAGAACCAGCAGCCAAAGGGTTGATCGACAAGTTACCATGGAACAGAGTGCATGACGTAATCCCAGTGCTAGGGGTTGGGGTAGGAGCAACCAGAGGACTGTGAGTTCAAGGCCAGCTTGGCTTCTGTTTAAAGCAAAGGCTGGGGAGAAGGCTGTTGATAAAGTGCTTGCCAACCACCAAGCACCACCCAAATTTTATTCCCAACACACTGAAAAAGAAAAGGAAAATAGAAGTGGGGCCAGCAGGAGGGCTCAGCGAGTAAAGGTGCTTGAGGCACAACTGATGACTTGAGTCTGAGTCCCAGGAGCTCCATGGTGAAAGGAGAGGATGATGGCCACAGTTGACCTCTGACATCTACGTGTAGGCCGTAGCTTAAATATATACGTGTGCGTGTGTGCATGCATGTGTGTACACACAGATAAATAAGTGTAAGACAAATCAACAGCAATAGGTGTAGAGTTGCTCTTCTGTAAATCCTAACACCTGGGAGGCAGCAACAGGTGGATCCCTCAAGCTCACTGGCCAACCAATCTAGCCATTCAGTGAAGTCCACGTCCAGTGCATCAGTAGTTGCTTTTTTCTCTTGCTTCCAAAGAAGCCTTGGTCCTGACTATTTCACCCACTGTCAGCTCCTGTTTGCTTAGTTTGAGGCACAAGTGCTGGTGTTGTAGACATGCGGTCTAGGTGGTATGGCTTGATCATGCATGTTGAGACTTCAGTGGCCTCATCCTCAGCCACAAGGATGCGGAATCCCTGGGCAGAAGAGGAAGACTGAGACTGACTGACTCTTCATCTCCACACACCAATGCCACTGAACACACGCCTGCTCTTAGAAACACTGTCCTCTCAGCCTTGCTCCACAGAGGTGGGAGCAAGAACCTGCCTCGTACGTCTTCCCCTGAAGAGGCAGGAAGGTTAACCATAAATCCAGACCAAGGCACCCACTTTCTCCACAACACCAGGACAGCCTGTCTCAGGAAGCTCTTTGGGCTTGTGTAAGAATGGTGAGAAAAACTCCTACCTCTAGATGCCCTACAGAACCACAGTCTTTGACTGTGCAAAACCCATCACCTCAAAGTGACTCCTGGGGTTAAACCAGTCTGAGAGTGGAAGTTCCTGTTCCTGGTGGCTCCTGGTACAAAAGAGCAGCAGGTTACTGTGGCACCCCATGCCCACAGAGCCCACACAAGGCATTCTCAGCTCTGTGGCTCTTCATCCTCGCCACGTGGCCCCAGCCTCCAGGGGAGACAGATTGGGGCAGAGGACGCAGCTGGGAGAGGCAGTGTCTCCCGGCCTGGAAGGGGACAAGCTGGTCTAGGGAACAGATAAGGGGGTTGGGGGAGAGGTCACAGACAACAGCAGAATGAAGAAGAAGGTACCTTGGTGGGAGGAGAAAAGGGGTAAACTCAAAAGGGTTATTTACGTAGTGTAAAGAGGTTGGAGGAGCGTTTGATTCCCACTCCTTTTGCTATGAGACAGAGTCTATCTATGTAACACTGGCTGGGCTAGAACTTAACATGTAGACTAGGCTGGCCTCAAACTCACAGAGATCCATCTGCCTCTGCCTCCAGAGTGCTGGGATTAAGTGTGTGTGCCACTATACCCATCTACCTTGATGTTTTAAGTGCAGCTGCTTCTTGCTTACTGCAGGGTGAGAGCAGATGAGCACACTGTGAGCACACTGTGAGGACACTGTGTGATACTATCTAAAAAGCAGGCTAACTCAGTGACGATGGCCTAGCTTAGCCCACCCTAACTAAATAAGCTCAGAGCAGTCAGGGGCCTACAATTGAGCAAAGTCTCAGCCTGCCACGTTAGAAAGTGATAAAGATTCAGGGCTTCCTGCTTCTGGACCAACAGCAGGACATGGGGTGGGGAGTGCTAGTGGCTGCCACTTTCCTACCACAGTCAGGGCTGTCACTCATATTAACCATTTAAACCACCACCAGCCGGCAGCTTCCTGTGTACCACCAGGGGTGTTCTGTAACAGAACTGACTTCTAGAGCTCGTCCTTTACTGATGCGATCTGACATGACTTTGGCACGGATATCCCATCACCAAACAGACTGCCTCCCAGGACAGACAGTCAAAAGTCCATGAAGAGACCCTCATCAGATAACACACGACAAGTGGGGAACTTGCTAAAAACCTATCAAGTTGGCGGTGCTGGGGGGATGGCTTAGTGGTTAGAGCATCAGAACCTCTGGAAGACCAATCCGTGCTCTTAGTCTCTCAGCCATCTTGATCTTTTAGAGGACCAGGGTTCGCTTCCCAGAATCCATGTCAGGTAGCTCACAACTGTCTGTGACTCCAAGGCGTCCAAGACCAGTTACAGGCACTTGTACTTACATGCCCATATCAATATATAGTCACACACACATGTGTGCGCACACACACACACAGACAGAGAGAGACAGAGAGAGACAGAGAGGGACATACAGATAGACACACACACACATAGACACACACACATACACACACATACACACACACACACACACACACACACACCTCATGCTTAGCCAAAAATCATTTTAAAAGATTTTTTTTAAGCCATTGTGGCTTAGAGGTTAAGAGCGCCGACTGCTCTTCCAGAGGCTCAATTCCCAGAAACCACATGGTGGCTCATAACTTTCTGTAACGCCCTCTTCTGGTGTGTCTGAAGACAGCTACGTGTACTCGTATCCACACAATAAATAAATACATCTTTAAAAAGAAACAAGCCATTGGATTTCTTTTCTTTTTTCTTTCTTTCTTTTTTTTTTTGTTTTTTTTTTTTTTTTGTGGGGTTTTTTTTTTTTTTCAAGACAGGGTTTCTCTGTGTAGTCCTGGCTGTCCTGGAACTCACTCTGTAGACCAGGCTGGCCTCAAACTCAGAAATCTGCCTGCCTCTGCCTCCCAAGTGCTAGGATTAAAGGTGTGCGCCACCACTGC